TTTTTTTTTGTAAGGTCAATCAGACCACAGACACAAAACTAAGACCTCAGTCACAGTGGTCAAACGCTACAGTGTCAATTCGAGGTTTGTCTGAATGGTGTACTGTCAATGTCTTCAATAATTTGAACATAAAAGTCTTACAGTAGATGTCAAGTCTTACCTGAACGGTTTGAACGTCAGCAGGCATCTTCTCGTCATAGTTATACACTCGCTATTTACAGCAATCATTTTTCGCGCCGACTGGTTAACAACACACGAACTATAAAACGCATAATTTACTTTAATTACTTAATATGCGAGTTTAAAGTAACAGCCCTAATTCTGACTGTAAGCTCTTTGATGAAGTTGCAAGAAGAAAGGCATCCGAAGATTGCTGAGTGAAATAATCGGCAGGTCATTCAGTTGGTGATGTTGAACTCCTATTCATCATAGTTTCCAAATAGCGTCAGAAGTAATCCAGCGTAGGTCCATCTCCGTACATTTAGTGAAGTATCAATGAAGCTCGTGAGGGGAATGAACGAGTCAGAACTCCCTGCGCAGCGCGCGAAGACGCTGGATCAATTCACCGGCACGACTGGCGTTTTCTGTGATGTGAGCCTTCACTTTCACCTTCTTTGAGAATAATGTTGTCTCTGTGGCTCAATATGAACATGAATGCAGTTCAGCTGCATCAGAGGAAGCGTCTAAAAGCTTAAACCGCTCCTCTGTAATGCCAGAGCCGTGGACAGCTCCCAGTGCACACGCTATAAGGCATCAAGAGCGCCATCCGATGGATTTCTAACAGTTTACTCGGATTATCCGATCTGAGATATGACGAATTGGGTCTTTCTGCGTGCAGCGTGTTTTTTGTGTAAGTGCTTTTAGTTAAACACAAGTACACTGATTGGATATGCGAGTTACATTTTTTAAACTTAAAAAAAAAGAAGAACATTTCACAAATATATGGCCTCAAGTCTTCTTTGCACATTATTTTCACACATGTTTAAAGGAAAAAACATGTATATTGTTTATAGTAATTAAATAAGATTTAGTATTTGAATGTAGTGAAACAAAATTGTAATAGTCGTAGACTCGTAGTAGTTCCCCAATAGTCGTAGCCATCTTACCCCAAAATATCTGACACACTTTACTGCACAACTGTCATGTTAAGAAATGCTTCATTCCATAGTCCATGGCTAAACTTCAGATAGATCAAAATATACACTGGCAATTCCCTTTGCCGGTTATTTGTTTTGAATTTGACAGACTCTTTCTAAATATAGTCATGTGACAAAAAATGTGCACAATTTGCTAGATTACATGGTGACTCATTTTACCCCACTCTCCTCAACTCCCTTTAGTGTATGATGATTTACACATTGCTTATGCTACCATTGTGTCTAGAGAGGATGTTTCATTACAGTATTAACAGTAATGAGAATCTAATGAGAATCATAATTCAGAATAATGAGAATTATGAACAAACTCAAAGGAAGTCAAGTATTCTCAAACTCTACGTGTCTCTGGCCCAGCTGATGGTTTCTGCTAGTTTCATTCCCATCATTTCTGAACCCTTGGAACCTAGAGGACTATTAGCAGTGCAGCCCGCACCTATGGATGACACACTTCATATCCAGCAGTGAGTCTGACAGATCGGCCATTAATGAAAGCCTCCATCTGTACAGTTTAGGATGCTGAGGATCTGCTTTCAAAAAAAAGAAAAAAAAAAAAAAAGAAAGAAAATCAATAGTTCTCTATTTCCTAGACCCACAGTTTCAGAGTGCAGCAGTACAACTACAAAAAAGGACAGCAGTGTACAAAACTTTCAGGTGCTGCGGAATCCTTATTGCTCAGGGCTACTTCAAGATACAGAGATTGTGAACATCAACAAGATGATTGTCTTGCCTAACAAAACAGACATACAGCGTGCATTGATTGATGCTATTAAGTGCTCCTCATTTCTCTATATAATTTTCTCTTTGAAACAACACCACAGATGAGAGAAAAAGAAGGAACATGAGGTTTTCTTCAGTCCGCAGGGTACAAAATGTCTAGACTTGATAACCTGCAGCCTGCCTTTGGAACACAAACCCCAATAATGACCCAAATAGCTGTAGTTAATGAAGCTTTTGGACTAGAGACATAATTGCAAGCAACATACATCACGAATAGTTCATTATATTCTGGAAGGCAAAGAGTGAAACTGACATGTTTTTCTCGGTCTGCTGTGTTTGACGTCATTAGTGAAGAGCTTGATGTTCTTGTGGTGTCATCAAACAATCAGCATTTTCATTTTCCTCCAGGCACAGAGATGATTAGTCACATGACATTTATGGCTCAGGCAAAAGTAAGTACTTATGAGAAGTGTTAAGGGCAGTGTATTATAAGTAACGCAAGTTACGTAATCAGATTACTTTTTCCAAGAAAACTAGTAAATTTTACTTTGTTTTCCCGTTTATTGACTGAAACTCTCCTGTCCCCATGTCCCCTGAGAAATCAGGAGTAAGTGCAGAGGTGTTGTGTGTGCTGTGTAAACATGATGCTTACTGTAGTTCTAGATAAAATGTGATTTAATCTAGAACTACAGTAAGAACTACAGTAAAAATAATTGTCAAAATGTTGTTTTATGACAAAAACAGATCCAATATTCCTCAAAAAGAATAAAAACATTGAAATGCAAACTCGAAAACCCTGAAATAATTATGTAAATATGTTAAATAACACATTTTTATGTATTTAATCCCATTTTATTAAGTAATGTCTTTGCAGCTGACCTTCGATGATCTAATTCAGCCATACTAATAAATCAAAATAACTTTAGATAGGCTAAGCATAATAATTGTTTTAATTTATTTTATTTTATTTTATTTTTAATTGCTGAAGAGTGTTGAACTTTCTTCTCCTGCTTCCTATTCTTGATGCAATCAAGCACTTTCCCCAGCACTACTCATGAGC